AAAAAAAAAAAGGAAATAGAATTCTCAGCGTCCTGTCAGCCACGGCTCAGACGCGTTCTTGCCACCCATGTGCCTCCCATAGCGATTTCTCTGAACTGGGTGGGGGCTCCAGCTGGCCAAGACCGCCGTGGGGGCCATGAAGGACAGGAGCCAGACTAAGTTGGCCTCCAGGGAGTTAGCTAGTTCTGGAAGTTTCCATCATTGTTCCATAGCTTTTATGGTAAAGCATTTGGAACAGAATTTTAACTGAATGAAATTTCAAGGTCTGATTTTACCATCAAATTAAGTGACCCTTTTCTTCCTTGCACTTGGTTGTTTTTTTTGTCTTGCTGGCCCCTCTGAGCTCCCCCCCCAGGATGGCATTTTGAAGATAGGGACACCGAGTTGAGAACTGATGGATCTCTTACCTGTGTCAAATTCTGTAAGACTGTTATGTAGGAAGGTCAATTATTAGTATGAGACATTGGACTGAAGCTGACTCATGGGTCCACCAGGTCCCCTTCCAGAGCTCTGGGTGCTGTCCTAGCGCATCAGGCCCGACAGGCTTCCTGGATATTTGCATATGCTGTTATTGTTGTCAACAGGTGCACCGTGTGGTGGAATCTCTTGATCGCACCCACTTTGCAGAAGAGAAAAACGGGGCTGCAGTGGGGCCCAAATGCTCCTCAAGGTCACCTGGGTAGGTGGTGATGCGGGTCTGCAACACCCTGGGATGGCCAATGGTGAGCAGCTGCTGGTGAGGCCTGGCTGATTTGAATGGTGTTATTCTTTTTGTTTTTTCCTTATAGTGACTCTTGAGGAAGGGAATCATCATTTTGGGTAAACGCAGTGAGTCCAGAACTGGACAGTGCCCAACGGCATTCACTGACAGCTCTTCGGCAAGTTTCCTCTCGGAATCTACCCTGGGGTTTAGTTTTCAAACCAGAGGGTCATCAGAGCCAGGAAAAAGTTGGTTACTTGCTTTCTAAATGTTATAACATTAACATGGGTGGTCCTGGATTTGCTGAGAATGACAGAGGTGTGTGGGCACAAGAAGAAAGAAGCAGGAGATTTAAAGAAGTAACCCCCCCTTCTAAAATAAAATAAAATAAGCGCCGCTAGCAGGGATGGAATTCCAAGATACGTACGGTATTCCTGCCTCATCTGAGGTTTTGTGTTCTAAGGTTTCAGTCACCCGTGGTCCACCACGGTCCAGAAGCAGATGGTCTCCATTCTGACCTATTGTCAGAAGGTCGGTGGTAGCCCAACGCGACCTCACACTCCTGCGCCGCCCGCCTCACCTCATCTCATCACGTGGGCATTTTATCATCTCCCATCATCACAGGAAGGGTGAGTACAGCGCAGTGAGACCCCATTCACGTAACTTTCATTACAGTTTTTTGTTATAGTTGTTCTATTTTATTATTAGTTATTGTTGTGAATCCCTTACTGTGCCCGATTTAAAAACTAAAAGTCATAGGAACGTATGTAGGGGAGAAAACAGCATATATAGGGTTTGGTACTATGCTTGGCTTCAGGCAGCTGCTGGGGATCTTGGAAGGTATTCCCACAAATAAAGGGGGATGAATGTAGTTGTGCAGATCTGGACACTGGTCTTTCTTCTTTCTGGGTGTGATAAAATGGTGCTTGGTTTGATCAGGGAAGAGTGCAGACGGTTCATGCATTTAGATCTAGAACACGTGGTTTCCAGTCTTGCAGGTTCCCTAGGTGGACTTCATTATGGAGTCAGGGATGGGCAGAGCTGGAAGGACCTAGTGGGAGATCTGGTCCCGTATTTTAGAGGGGGAATCTGAGACTCCCACGGGTGAAAGGCAGTCTGGCCTGGAGCCCTGTGCTCCGATTGCACACTGTGGAGTGAATGTTGCTATTGGGCGTCCATGCTCACCTTTGGATAACAGCTCTCCAGCTCTGTGTGCCGTGAGACCCCACAGTCTCTGGAACATGAGCCGCGAGACGTGGTTGTCTTCCCCCATCTATGCGTCTCAGGGCAAAGCTAAACATGCTCTCCTTCTTTTGAGGTCTGACCACTGCTCTTTGTTCCTTTCAGATGGCTTACGTGAAGATGCGCTTGATGTACATTTCCCTGGTGGTCCTGGGAGCCCTCTGTTTGTATTTTAGCATCTACAGCCTGACTCCTTTTAAAGACGAGCCGTTTGTCTTCAAGAAAGAAAGGGGGAACTTCCTTCAGCTTCCAGATATCAACTGCAGGCAGGATCCCCCCTTCCTTGTCCTGCTGGTGACCTCCTCCCACGAACAGATGTTTGCTCGCACGGTCATCCGGAACACGTGGGGGAAAGAAAAGAATGTGAGCGGAAGACTCATAAAAACCTTCTTCCTTTTGGGAGCCACATCCAGTAAAGACCTGTCGAAAGTGGTAGTGCAGGAAAGTCAGCGGCATCGCGACATCATCCAGAAGGACTTCATGGACGCCTACTTCAACTTGACCCTGAAGACCATGATGGGTATCGAGTGGATCCACCGCTTCTGTCCTCAGGCGGCTTTCGTGATGAAAACGGACTCGGACATGTTTGTCAACATCTACTACCTGACCGAGCTGCTCCTCAAGAAAAACAGAACCACTCGGTTTTTCACCGGCTTCTTAAAACTGAACGAATTTCCGATTAGGGACAAGCACAACAAGTGGTTTGTCAGTAAATACGAATATCCGTGGGAGAAGTACCCGCCCTTTTGCTCGGGCACTGGCTACGTGTTTTCCAGCGACGTGGCAAGTCACGTGTATGATGTGTCCGACAGCGTCCCGTTCATTAAGCTCGAAGACGTCTTCGTGGGGCTCTGCCTGGCAAAACTGAAAATCGGGCTGGAGGAACTCCACTCCGAGCAGACCTTTTTCCCAAACGGGTTGGCCTTTTCCACGTGTCGTTTTAGGAAGATCGTGGCCTGCCATTTCGTCAAGCCTCGCAACATGCTGAGCTATTGGCAGGCTCTGGAAAATTCTCTGGAAGAGGAGTGTCCAGCTGTCTGAGCAAGCCCAGGGGCCCATGCGGACACACTTGAGACAACCCATAGTTTGGAAGCTCTTCAGGGGGCATTGCTGAGGGTCCTCGTGGGGCAGGGAGGGAGTGAGGGGGGAGGAGGAAGAGGCAGGTGAGGGTGCTCTCCTCTAGCGCTGCCCGTCTAACTGAGCTTGTAAGCCTGAGTGAAACCGCTTGGTGCCCAAGCGATAACAGAGGCCATCTCTTGGGTCCCTACACGACTGCGCTAAGTGTCTGACGCACGCCTCCATTTTCCCATTTCCAGGATCAGTGTCTATATGCAGCGGTGGGTGTCAGCATCCCCATCTTACACACCAGGCAGCCGCAGCTTGTGGAAACCCAGGGCCTTGTCCCAAGGCTCCCGGCCAACAAACACTGGGGCAGGGATGGAGATCCAGCACTGTGAGAACCCAGGCGCAGCCGCTGGCTTGGCCCACCCCTCCGTCCTGCCTCCCTTGGCGGGGACTGGCGGCCAGGAGGGCTCAGAGGCAAGCCTGGTGGTGGCATCCTCCAGTCCCTTTCAGGAGTCCCTTCCACTTCAAGTCCCAGTCCTTTAGCTTTTAGTGCTGTCCCTGGGGTGAAGCAGCACGCCCCCAGCGCCCTCATTCACCGCAGTGGATCGAGCAGGGATACCGAGTCCCTGTGAGCAGCTCGGCATTCAGCTCACAGCAGAGCAGGCACATCCCCGGCCGCCCCTGAGAAACGGCCATCTCTAGACAGAAAACCGTGTTTATAGATTCGGCTTGGAAACAACTGCAAAGCTGGCCTGTCGAGCGGACTTCTTGGCCACGCTGCCAGCATCCCCAAGGGCATGGCATGAGCTCCCTGAAATGAGCTTTGGTCAAGGGGGGCTGTCTTCCTGTGCCTGCTTCCCACGCCTGGCCCAGGCTCATCTTCTTGGAATTTCTCAGACGGCCAGAGAACAACTGAGTTTGTGAAGTGATTAACCTCCTGTTTCCTTCCGCCTGGAGGTTTCTAGGAGCCTGTTCTGCAGGCTGTGTGGGCGAGGCCCTGCTTGGCGGGGGTCTTCACCTGTTCAGCGGCTGTGGGATTACATGCTAAGCCGCCCTGCTCCTGGTCGTAGGAATGATTCGTACTTATTTTTTACTTTACCTGACGTGACTTTACCAGCACTCAAAGTGAAGGCCTCACATGGCTGGGTAACCCACAGAAGCCAGACCAAGCTCCTACCTGAGCCCAGGTGGAGGTATTTGCTGCAAAATGGCCGTGGCAACATTAACCCGAACAGCGTTTCCCCTATCTGCTGCTTCTCTGCAGACGTGAGCCCTTATCCTGGCCGCTCTGCACGTGCTGGACCATGCTCAGGAAACCTTCCTCCCAGGTGGGACAGTCAGGGACTGAGCTTCCTTTTGAAGCCCAGATTTTGTCGGAGCCTTGGTCCTGCAGGAGGGCCCCCGATTCGGAAGATAACGGTGGGTGGGGGGTGTTGAGGGTGAAGGGGCTCCTCCGGCAGCAGGGCTGGGTCTGTGCCTACGTGTCCACCCTGGGTGGGGTGTGTGTCCGTGTGGCCACTGGGCTCGGTGTGGCGGACCCAGGATCTGGCCTTCTCCTCAGCCTGTAGCTCAGTCCCAGGGATCACGAGCCCAGGCAGGGCTCTGTTACCTGAGCCGGGGTCTTGGGCCCGACAACGATAGAAGTGACATGGGACCCAAGAGTCAAAGGCATAGGCAGTGCTGTATTGGAGAAAGCTCCTACTTTCTCCAGCGTTCCCACTCCTGTCCCTTATGCTACTAAGGGATGGAAAAGTGCCTCGTCCTGATTGGCTGATGTTGGCAGGCGACCCAGCAGCTCACTGGTGTTTTTGGAGCCACGGTCTTCCAGGTTGGTGGAGCCTCCTTTTGTCCCCGCCTCAACAGGACATGGCCCCGGCTGTTGTTTGAAGTCCGTCCGGTGTGGGGTCGGACCCTGGTTCTGCTCTGTGAGAAAATCAGTTCAGGAAGAGCAGCCGACCGGAAGTGCCCCAGGTCCATAATATTTTTCATTTGGGGCTTGTTCCTGTGGTCCCTGACTGTCTCATGGCCCCCGGAGAGCTTTCATCCACCTGATGCTTGCAGGGGAATGTGGATGGAGGTCTCATCTCCTGTGTCTACATCCTGCTTATCAAGGGCGTAGACGCTGCCTCTCATTGGAGGTCATGGCAATGTCCCGCTATCTGATTTAATCCTGACGTGAGAACGCGGTCCCCAGCGGGTGTGGGCTGAATCCCCATGCGAGCATCAGCTGGATATGGGACTGTTGGAGTCTAGAGGACACGAATTTGACAAGTAAAGTAAAGAAGCATGGCCCAAATAGAAACAGCAGTAAAATGGCCACTAAGGGCGCGAGGAAAGGCAAGAACCAGGTAACACATGGCAGGTACCCCTTAACGGAGTCCCAGATGGTTTGAGCATGGGGGCCTTAAAATTATGGAGCCAGGAGGCCTGTTGGGGGATGATGTCATCCCTTCGTCCTACCTCTCCAGAAACATGAATGTGGAATCGACAAGATGGATTTGCAATAGCATATACTCGCCCTGGGTCAGCCAGTGGAGAGTCTAAGGCTAATTGGTGATCTAAAACCGCGGAAGCCAGAGTCTAATGATCTTAGATAAGCTTAAACTCCTGTCCGGTTTCAGCCACCACTGTGGACACAGTGGCTTCTGTGTGGAAGCGTTGTGCATTGTTCCCCGGCTGGTCTCATCACGGATCCGACCCAGGTGACTCTGAGCGTTCAGCCATCCTCCGGCTCCCCTGGACCTCCGTGGTGGTGATAGCTGAGTGTTAGAAGGGTTACTGATGACTATTTGAATATTTTCAGGGGACGGTGCAGCATGTCCCACAGTCTCCGCTAGTCTTATTGGTATCAAGACATTGAACTGGTGTCCCCCTTCCCATCTGACATTCTTAGGAAGACCATTCCTTCAGCTAGACCCAGGAGCCCTGGGGAGGGGGGCTGGGCACTGAGGTGGTGAGTGGTTGTGGGGCATCCACAGGGAGTGCTTGTCATCATCCAGGTCTCCATCATCAGTGGTGCCATATACTTGTGGCCCTGTGTGACAGTCTGGGTAACTGTGACACCAAGGCCATATCTCCTAGATCATATGCCGTGTTTGAGATGTGGGGGGGTATTGCTGCATATAAAGGGGGGCAGGGCTGGGGGGTGGGGTTCGCCGCACCTTTTGGTGGGCAGCTGCATAAAATGATACTAAGTATGCGGGCTCATTTGGCAGTCAGATTACAGGTGGAGGGCCTGCAGAGATCACAAGAGGGGTCATGTGGTATACCAATGATGGCTGATGGATGAAAACGTGTTGTTGTAATCCGGTCAGCGGGTGTTGGGTGGATGCTGAGGACTGGGTTTGTGTGAGGTTTATTGGCTCTGTAAATGGGGTGGGCTTGGCCCCGGGACGACTCTGCAAGCTTGCCTCACGGAACATCTTTATGTGCTTCTCCATGGACTTGTTCATGACATACCCAGCGGTCTGATTAAGTTTCTAGCGCGGTCTGAGACAATGTTTTTAGTAATTTGGAGCAAAGAATTTTCTTCCCCTTTCCCCATGTTTTGCTTACGCCCTATTATGATCAGGGAAGACATAAGCACCAGGACAAGAAGGGGTATGTATGGTTAGTTTTATTTTTTTTCTTCACCTAGCCAGGACAAAAGAGGTGTGAAAGGACAAGAGAACAGACCCAGAGCCACCCCAGGAAATGTTAGACTAACCTGGACTGCTTACCCAGCAGGGGCAAACCAGGTGTTTTCCAGGGAGTGGTGCTGCTTGAAGCAGCAAGTGAATGGAAGACACAGATGCAAGAAAAGAAGGTGATGGGGACGATGATACACCACATTCCTTACCTGTTTGCAGTGATGACTTTTTTTTAAAAGATTTATTTATTTGAGAGAGAGAGAGAGAGCAAGCAGATGAGCACGAGTGGCAGAGGGAGAGGGAGAGAGAATCCTAAGTAGACTTTGCACAGAGCACGGAACCCTATGCCAGGCTCGATCTCACGACCCTGAGATCATGACCTGAGCTAAAACCAAGAGTCGGATGCTCAACCGACTACGCCACCCAGGCGCCCAATGACTGTCTTTTGAATTTCAGAGCTTCAGTTGGTTCAAAGTATAGGTGTGGTTGGCCGGTGGGTCCTGAAGAAGTCCGGGGCGGGGGTGGGGGGGTGGGGAGGGCAAGTTTAATCTTGATGAGATGGACCCAGCTGGGTACTCCTTCCAGCCCTGTGGCGGTGGGAGCGGCCAGAAATCCCCGGTAGGGTCCTTTCCATTTGGGTTGGAGTCGGTCCCTCGGTGATCCCTCTTTCCATGTCATAAGTGCTGCTTATTCCCCGGGCCCAACCTTTGGGAGGACAGAGGGATCCGGGTGGGGTCTGGCGGGATTTTATTGCCACATTGTTGTAGGGCCTGTTGCGTCTTGCTTCAGTTCCCCTGGCGGCGAAAGATGCCCTGCTGTCGCTCTGAAGGGACTTGGGCAGCCCCAGATCTTGGAATGATTTCTTTTAAAAGACATTTGCACACCTCAGTAGCCTTTTCTGTCCTCGAACAGAAAGCCTCTATCCAACCGGTAAAAACATTTCCAGACCCAAGAAGATACTGACAACCAGCCTTTGGAGGCATCTGAGTAAAATCAGTTCCTGAGCCCTCAGAGCCTGCCTGTTGGGCTCCAGCTGTGTTCCTGATGCCACCTTGCCTGACCACGAGGGTAAGAAGCTCTGTGACAGCAGGAACTGGGAGGCAAAGCGATGCTCTTCCCGTGACAGCCAATGTTAGTTTTGTACTGGGACCTGCAGGAGCCAGGCTGGTTGGTGGCTTCACCCTTGGGTGTCCAGGGGGAATGACTGATGGTGAACCCTGTTTCCTGGGTGTGCTGAGATGAGCACGCTACATGCATTATGTCCTTAAATGCTCAAAGCAGCTCTATGGGGGAGGGGGCGCCAGCCATGGGCCCGCTTTGCGGGTGAGGAAGCCCAGGTGGCAAGAGGGAGGGAGCAACTCGCTCAAGGTTGCCGGCACAGCTGAGAAGTTGCACATTTAGGGGACGACCCCCCTGGGTGGGCCTCCCAGGCTGCCAGCCGGCCGCCTGTCCGTGTTCAGTGGGGTGCAGGAGCTCATT